TCACATTCACAGACAAAAAACAGCTGCCACAGCAATCAGGTGCTCATTTGAAGAGCTGTGCAAGGAGACCCTTAATGGAAAATGACAAATGTTTAGTTCTTACTATGTGGTATCTATTATTAACTATATGTTGCAGATGATGAAACAGAGAAGAGTCAAGTATCCAAGGTCACAAAGCCAATAAATGATAGGTCTTGACTGACTCCAAAGCCATGCTCTTAACCACTAAGATTTTAGTAACTACCAATAGAATACAGATTTCTATATTGGGAAAGAAGTTGGGCTTATGATTCTTCTAACTTCAAGATTCTACAATTAAATAAATCAGAGAATGAAATAAAGAGAGAATGAATTAAAGGGGACATGTTTGTGAATGTGTATGACTACTGAGTAGTGAAGTTATACAACAGTTGTGGTCTGATAAAAAATGCTTGCTTGGCTCAGTGGCACCTGCCTGTAGTTGCGGCTACTCAGGAGGCTTAGGTGAGAAGATTGCTTGAGGCCAGGAGTTTGAGGCTGTAGTATGCAACGATCACACCTGTGAATAGCCACTGCACTCCCACCTGGGCAACACAGAGAGGGCTTATCTCTAGACAGACAGACAGACAGACAAACAGATAGTTAAAACTTAAAAGGCTGGGCACAGTGGTGTACACCTGTAGTCCTAGCTACTCAGGAGGCTGAGACAGGAAAATTGTTTGAGCCAGGAGTTCAAGACCAGCCTAGGCAATATAGAAGTTGTATCTAAAAAAATAGTATTTTTAAAAAATGCTTAACAGCCTACTGTCTTGATCAAAAACAGTGCAACATGACCGATGACCACAGGCAATGCTTGTCCTAGAAGAAAGGAAAGAGCTAGAATCCCAAGTTCTACTGGGCTGTAGGGCTGGGCCTCTGTGGAGGCTAGTTATACATGCAGAAGTCTGGTCCTGGGAGGCCATGAGAAAAACTCATATGAAGATAAGGTGAAAGAGCAGGAACCAAAAATCCCACAAAATAAAAAACTTCACCAAGAGAAATGTGAGCCAATGTCATCAAAAGCAAAGATAGGGATTGATAGCAAGGCCCATGTTCAAGCAGAATAGCATTTGCACTGTGCAGTTTAACAGCAGAAGGTTATCTGCTATAGATATGAAGATTTAATGGTCAGATTTGAGGCATCTGTAGGTAAAAAAGCAGGGTAGGTTAGGAGTATTAAAGTGCCTACTATATAGATATAGAGAGATGACACAGCTATATATATTTTTACAAAAGACTCTCAAAACCATTGTCTCATTTGTCTCACTTAAGCTAGCCCTGGGAGAGAGGAAAGCAACAATAAGAAATACAGGTATATGTGATTTATTGCGCTTTGCCCTACTGCATTTCTCAGATATTGTCTTTATAAACTGAAGGTTTGTGGCAACCCTGAAGTGAGCATGTGCTCACTTCATGTCTTTGTCATGTTTCAGTTAATTCTCACAATATCTCAAACATTGTCGTTATTATTATATCTGTTACGGTGATCTTTCATCAGTGATCTTTAATGTTATTACTGTAATTGTTTTGGAGTATGACAACTGTGCCCATATTACATTGTGAACTTGATAAATGCTATATGTGTCCTGACTGCTCCACCAACCGTTCCCTCATCTCTCTCCCTCTCCTTCAGCCTATTCCCTGAAACACAACAATATTGAAATTAGGCCAATTAGTAACCCTACAATGGCCTCTAAGTGTTCAAGTGAAAGGAAGAGTCCCCCATCTTTCACTTTAAATCAAAGCTAGAAATGATTAAACTTAGGAGGAAGGCATGTTGAAAGCCAAGACAGGCCGAAAGCTACGCCTCTTGTGCCAAACAGCCAAGTTGTAAATGCAAAGAAAAAATTCTTTTTTTTTTTTTTGAAACAGTCTCCCTCTGTTGCCCAGGCTGGATTGCAGTGGCTCGATCTCTGCTCACCACAACCTCCGCCTCCTGGGTTCAAGCTATTCTCCTGCCTCAGCCTCCTGACTAGCTGGGATTATAGGCATGCACCACCACGCCTGGCTAATTTTTTTTTTTTTTGTATTTTTAGTAAAGACGGGGTTTCAGCATGTTGGTCAAGCTGGTCTCAAACTCCTGACCTAGTGATCTGCCTACCTTGGCCTCCCAAAGTGCTGGGATTACAGGTGTGAGATATCGCACCAGGCTGAAAAGTTCTTGAAGGAAATTAAAAGTGCTACTCCAGTGAATACAGGAATGATAAGAAAGCAAAACAGCCGTATTGCTGATAGGGAGAAAGTTTTAGAGGTCTGGATAAAAGATCAGACCAGCCACAGCACTCCCTTAAGACAAAGCCTAATCCAGGGCAAAGCCCTAACTCTCTTCAATTCTACGAAGGCTGAGAGAGGTATGGAAGCTGCACAAGAAAAGCTAGAAAGCAGCAGAGGATGGTTCATGAGGTTTAAGGCAAGAAGCTGTCTCCATAACATAAAAGGGCAAGGTGAAGCAGCAAGTGCTGATGGCAGAAGCTACAGAAAGTTATCCAGAAGATCTAGCTAAGGTAACTGACAAAGGTGGCTACACCAAACAGATTTCCCTGTAGATAAAACAGCCTTCTACTGAAAGATGCCATCTAGGATTTTCATGGCTAGAGAGAAGTCAATGTCTGGCTTCAAACCTTCAAAAGACAGGCTGGTCACTTTAAATTGAGGTCAATGCTCATTTGTCACTCAGAAAATCCTAGGGCTCTTAAGAGTTATCCTAAATCTACTCTGCCAGTGCTCTACAATAAAAAAAGCCTGGATGAAGCAGTTCTGTTTACAGGCCCCTGTTGAGACCTACTCCTCAGGTAAAAAAGATTCCTTTCAAAATATTACTGGTCATTGACAATGTACCTTGTCATCCAAGAGCTCTGATGGAGATGTATGAGATTAATGTTGTTTTCACAGCCACTAATACAACATCCATTCTGTAGCCCACAGATCAAGGAGTCATTTCAACTTCCAAGTTTCATTATTTAAGAAATACATTTCAAAAGACTATAGTTGCCATAGATAGTGATTGTTCTGATGAATCTGGTCAAAGTAAACTGAAAACCTTCTGGAAAAATTTCACTAGTCTAGATGCCATTCAGAACATTCATGATTCATGTGAGGTCATAGTATCAACATTAAGAGACATTGAGAAGTTGATTCCCACAACTCATGGATGACTTTGAGGGGTTTAAGACTTCAGTAGAGGAAGTAACTACAGATATGGTGGAAATAGCAAGAGAATTAGAAGTGGAGCCTGAAGATGTGACTAAATTGCTGCAATCTCATGATAAAACTTGAACAAATGACTTGCTTCTTACAGATGAGCAAAGAAAGTAGTTTTTTGAGATAGGATCTACTTCTGGTGAAGATGCTGTAAACACTGTCAAAATGACAACAAAGGATTTAAAATATTACATCAACTTAGTTGATAAAGCAGCAGCAGGGTTTAAGAAGATTCATTTATGAGTTCTACTATGGGAAAAATGCTATCAAATTCTGTAGCATTGCATGCTACAGAAAAATCTTTTGTGAAAGGAAGAGTCAACTGTTTCAGCAAACTTCACTGTTGTCTTATTTCTTGTTGGGGGTAGACAGGGTATTGCTCTGTCCCCCAGTGGCACAATCGCAGCTTACTGGAGCCCTGAACTTCTGGGCTCAAGCAATCCTCCCCCTCAGCCTCCCAAGTAGCTGTGGACTACAGGTGTGTGCCACTACACCCACCTAATGTTTTTTATTTTTATTAGAGACAAGGTCTTGCTATGTTACCCAGGCCAGTCTTAAACTCCTGAGCTCAAGCAATCCTCCCACTTTGGCCTCCCAAAGTTCTGGGATTATAGGTATGAGCCACTGTGCCCAGCCCATTGTCTTATTTTAAGAAATTATCTATATAAGAAATGCTTTAATAATAATAATAATAATAATAATAATAATAATAATACACTGAGTCTTCAGCAACCACCACCCTGATAAGTCAGCAGCCACCAACATCAGGGCAAGACCTACTCCAGCAAAAAGACTGACTAGCCAAAGGTTCAAATAATCATTAGCACTTTTCAGTAATATTTTAAGGTGCGTACTTTTTTTTAGACATAATGCTACTACACACTTAATAGATTACAGTATAGTGTAAACATAACTTTTATATGCACCGGGAAACCAAAAAATTTATGTGTCTTGCTTTATTGTGACAGTCACTTTATTGTGGTGGTCTGGAACCAAATCCACAATATCTCTGACGTATGCCTATCTGGGGTCTGAAACAACCCCGTAGCTTCCAGGCCAAAGAATAGCAACCTCTCTTTCCTCACTAAAAATACAGTCAAAATGTTCTACTGAAGAGGAAGGGCTCCAACTCCAGTTCTCCCACTTATTAGATGTGTGACCAAAGCAAACGAGCTTAATTCTCAGGCCTGGTTACCTCCTGCAAAGTGGAGATAATAAAATGTACCTCACATACAGCATTTAGTAGTAGAAGTGTGGTTATTACTGGTATCCCCCCGTCATCTGCTAAATGTGGTCCTGAGCAAATTACTTACCTCTTGGAGCACCAGGATCCACCATCAGCAAAATTGGACTACCAATGCTTACTTCCCTGGGTGATTTATGAGGATTAAATGGAATATAAATGAAAGGCACATCATACGTTAGCTGAATCTAAATAACTGTGGCGGTCTCTGGAGTCAGCAACTGAGTTTGAAGCCAGCTTCTACTGCTTTATTATAGCTGTATAACCTTGAGCAAATGGCAACCTCTCTGACTCTCAGTTTCCTTGTCTGTAAAATATGACTGAAAACAGTACCTACGAAACAGAGTGGCTGTGAGGACCCAATGTGCCCCTGGAACACAATAAGCACTCAGTGAGAGCCACTGTTTTTGCTGTTTTTTCTGCCTCTGCTCCCCACATGGCTTTCCTGTACTGATGAGAAAAGGCACAGATCCTGAAGAGCTCTGAGCTTTGTGAAGAGAAACTGAGGCCCAGACTCAGATCTGGGATGAAGAGTCACCTGTACCAAGTGCCCAATCCTCAACCCTCGCCTCAGCACCAGGTGGAGAGCATCCTCATCCCTGCTCGTGGAACGCTTCTCTGCAAAGGCCAGGAAGGTGTGGGTGGGGGGTATGTAGAGCAGGGCTGGGATCCGGTAGGTAATCCCTCTGTCATCTTCCTGCCGGAACAGAGGGCTGTTGAAGGAGCATGTTGTCACTTCTTCCATGACCTCTGCAAGGATAGAAGGCAGCTCAATGTGTGTCCATACCCAAATGCTGGCCTGCATATAAATTCTGCTTCATCATATCACTTCTGGAGAGCAAAGGGGAGGCACAGATACATATTCAAATGTTTATTTATACAAGAGTAACATATGCTCTCAATAGTACAAAGCAAGCAATATACATTCTTATTTAACAAATGAGAATTTCATTAACTCCAGACCCTGTGGGAATTCTGTGTGGCCTGTGTCAAGTATGTATCTTGGAGCAGAGCGGTTTTGCATTTCTTTTTGCCAAGCATCCAGGGGTATTACCAGCCTGAGGTGGTTTTTAATGTCAATTCTTGACTTGGAGTTTCTAGGCCATTTGGGTATCTGTACGAGTGAATGGCTGTGGTTAAGAATTTTCTGGGAAAACTTTTTTTCTGTACAAAAGCCTAGGATAAAAGGCAATCTTCTTTGTCTTCTCTCTGTGTCAGTAGGGAGAATTTTTTTTTTTCCTAGTAGATCTGGTATGATATATGTCCCCTCCAAAACTCATGTTGAAACTTAATCCCCGATATGGCAGTGTTGAGAGGTGGGGCCTCTAAGAGGTGACTGGGTTATAAGGGCTCTGTCCTCATGAATGAATGAATGGATGAATGCGTTATCAAGGGAGTTGCATTAGGGGCTTTATAAGAGGAAAACCAGAGATCTGAGCTAGCATAGTCAGCTCCCTTGCCATGTGATGCCCTGTGCTGCCTTCAGACTCTGCAGAGCCCCCACTAGCAAGAAAGCCCTCACCAGATGTGGCCTCTGGACCTTGGATTTCTCAGACTCCATAACTGTAAGAAATTTCTTTTCTTTATAAGTTATCCAGTTTCAGGTATTCTGTTATAAGCAACAGAAAATGAATTAAGATACTAGTCCACCCTATCAGAAGGTATACACTCTACACAGGGTGCAGATTTTCAAGGGACCTAGTTTCATGTGAGGATTTCACATGCCATCCTCTGTCAAAAACTAGAGTCTAACCAGGCTGGGCACAGTGGCTCACGCCTGTAATCCCAGTACTCTGGGAGGCTGAGGTGGGCAGATCACGAGGTCAGGAGATGGAGACCATCCTGGCTAACATGGTGAAACCCTGTCTCTACTGAAAATACAAAAAAATTAGCTGGGCATAGTGGCGGGTGCCTGTAGTCCCAGCTACTCAGGAGGCTGAGGCAGGAGAATGGTGTGAATCCAGGAGGCGGAGCTTGCAGTGAGCCGAGATTGCATCACTGCACTCCAGCCTGGGCGACAAAGCAAGATTCCGTCTCAAAAACAAAACAAAACAACAACAAAAACCCACTAGAGTCTAACCCATGCGGACCTATAGCTTCATTTGGTATAAAAACAGGCCTATTAAAGTCCAAGTTTCTAGGTGAGACATCCAGTACAGCTGAGGGCAGATTAAGGAGCTAATCACTCTGGTTTTCAGTTCACGCTTGGTTTCTTAGTCCCTGGAGATTTCTCTTACTTTCTCACAAATTCAGCTATAAAGGGCTTTGTTATTTTTTTTTCTTTTGAGACGGAGTTTTGCTCTTGTTGCCCAAGCTTGAGTGCAATGGCGTGAGCTCGGCTCACTGCAACCTCCACCTCCTGGGTTCAAACAATTCTCCTGCCTCAGCCTCCCGAGTAGCTGGGACTGCAAGCGCCTGCCACCACGCCCAGCTAATTTTTTGTATTTTTAGCAGAGATGGGTTTCACCACGTTGGCCAGGCTGGTCTCAAATTCCTGACCTCAGGTGGTCCACCCACCTCGGCCTCCCAAAGCGCTGGTACTACAGGTGTGAGCCACCATGCCCGGCTGCCTTTGTTATATTTTACCCCCCATTTTACAGTTTGGCTACCCTGCCATAATGCTCACAATGGAGTCTCCAAGTATTCTTCTTAAAGAAAACCAGGTGTTCCACTTCTCAGAGGCCCAAAAGGGGAATCAAGCCAGACAGACAAAAGGCAGCCTTAGAATTACTTTTTCCTCAAACCAACTGTCATCCAAACCCAACTTTACAAATCATTTGTAAATATTATCAGGCTGTAAGAACGATTTATTCAATAAATATTTCTAGGTGTCTCCTCCATGTCAGGCTCTAAAATAGGTGCTGAGAAGATAGAGAAGGATCAGAGGTTCCTGCTCTCAAGAAACCCAATCAAGTGAGGGAAACAGACATATACATGGACAATTATAACACGATGTAATAAGTGCTACTTTAGAGGTAAACACAATAGCAAGTAGAAAAACATAAAAGTGGCATCTGTCCAGATCAAGGCACCAGAGAAGGATTTTTGGAGAGAATTATTGAGCCAAAAGAGCTCCTGCCTCATATAGTCACAGGCTCTGCCTGGAACACTCGTTTCAGATAGTCACATAACACTCTCTCCACTTCTTCAGCTCTGCTCAAACATCATCCAATCAGTAGGGTTTCTCTGTCAACTCCTTTGCCCCAGCCTATCTTCTTTCCTTGTTCTATTCTCCACACCACTTATCATACTTTGATGTCTCCTATGTTACATTTGTTTAATACATACCACAAAATGGAAGCTCCAGAAAGGGCAAGGGTATGTCTGTTTCTTATTGCTCCACCTTGACACCTAGAACTATGCCTAGTATATAATAGGCACTCAACAAATTTTTGTTGAATGACTGAATGAATGAGTGAGCCAGATCTTAAAGAATGAATAGTGGGTTAGCCAACTGAGGGTGAAAAGAAGAAGGGTAGAGGACGAGGATGTGAAAAGCGTATAGGTGACAGAAAACAACCTACAGGTTAGCCAACTGAGGGTGAAAAGGAGAAGGGCAGAGGACGAGGATGTGAAAAGCCTATAGGTGACAGAAAACACAGAGAGTTGTAGGGCCTCTCAGTAGTTTAGTATGACTACAGTAAGATGGAGTGCAAGGGATGGGGCAGAGGTGGGACTGAAGGGGTCAGTACAGTCCAGATCCTGGGAGGCTTAGATACTTTATTAAGGTGTTTATTCCACAGATGGGAGACCACTCAAGAGTTCTTGACAGAGGAATGGCATGATGATTTTAGACCAATCTTCCAGGAAGCTTTCAGGACAATGAACTATAGGGCAAAGTTGCACTGCTTTTGGTTACAGCCTCCTAGTGTCAATCAAGACAATTTTTATCAATAGCATATGAATACTTAGTCACTTGTTCCTAACTTAAAGAAGGGAAAAGAACTATGGCTCAGTATCATGAGGGGAACTGCGGGAATGGCCTTGCTGAGTCCAGAAGAAAAGCCTCCCTTCATTTCAATCTCAGGCTCTCAACAGCAGAATCAAAAGATAAGCAAGGGGAGACCATCTTCTCACCCAATACTACAGCACACTTCTCTCCCCTCAATTCAGGCTGTCCTCCCTGGGAGGGTCAGGCTTTGTTCTAAGCAAATAATCTGTCTCTGAGCCAGGCTGGGGTAATGGTTAAGAACATAGGATTTGGACCAGGCCAGGACTATGTGACCTTGGGCATGTTACTCAACTTCTCTATGCTTCAGGATCCTCCCCTATACAATTCAGTAGAGTAGGTGATAGAAATAAAATGCTTAACTACAGTGGCTATTACAAGGCCTGTGACATAGTATGAGTGCAATATACAACAGTTATTTTTAAACTACCAACTAATGTATATTCTAGTTTTATTCCTTGAATCCTGTGGATAACAATGACAATAATAACAATTACAACTCTTTCTTAAAAACATTTAAATCCCTCTTTATTGCTGAAAGAGAACATACTTTAAACTCTTACCACTTTAATTAGAAGTTAAACCAACACTACTATCATCAGACAACATGTGACTATTAGTTAAATTTAAACAGGAATTCTCCAGGTGATAAGAAGAATGGAGCACAGGATAGGCATGGAGTAGGATAGGGCTCAGAACAGGAAAGGAAGAGGCTGGGTGCGGTGGCTCATGCCTGTAATCCCAGCACTTTGGGAGGCTGAGGTGGGCAGATCACTTGAGGTCAGGAGTTCGAGACCACCCTGGCCAATATGGTAACACCTCATCTCTACTAAAAATACAAAAAAAAATTGGCTGGGCATGGTGGCATCCACCTGTAATCCCAGCTATTCAGGAGGCTGAGGCGGGAGAATCACTTGAAACCAGGAGGTGAAGGTTGCAGTGAGCTGAGATTGCACCACTGCACTCCAGCTTGGGTGACACAGCAAGACTCTGTCTCAAAAAAAAAAAAAAAAAAAAAAAAAAGGAAAGGGAGAGGAAATAGGGAAATCACCAAAGGAGAAGCACAACTTGTCAGATGGGCTGGATTCATGTCTCAGCTCCATTTCTTGCTGCATGACGTTTTGATGGTTACTCGACCTCTAGATCTTGGATTCCTTGCTTGTACACTATGGATAATAATACCTACCTAAGCAGATCAATATGAAGAACCACTCAAAAGTGCTTTATAAATTTTAAAGTCCTGTTTCAATAAGTGTGTTTAATTATAAATTTTGATGTCTTCACAGTTTCACTTATGCTTTATTATCACCATAACAAATACAGCCATTAATTTTTGTAATTATACTGATCGTGTTGATGACAGAAGTAACATAGATGGTGATTCTGGCATTGCCACCCAAACTATTTCACACAAATCAGGTGCTGGAAACTGGGGAGAGAAAAGAATCAGATATGGTCCTGCTCTGGGGTTCATTTAGGCAGAGAATTCAAATGATTAATTGCTGCTCGATATAATCACTTTCCCATCAAGTCCTCCCCGCTTTCTTACTGGGAGAGAGTATAGCCTAGCATGGACTCTGAAGTCTGACTTATCTTTGACACTTACTAGCAAGTCACTTTACTTCTGAGCTTCAGTTTCCTCACTTATAAAATGGAGATAATACCGCCTACTTCTCAGGCTATAATAATGTAATTCCACAGCCTCCAACTAACCCAGTGAGCCTCCAGTGAATCCCAGAAGGAGGCCTCCCTATCTCATCTATTCACTCCTAACAAGTAATATTTAAGGAGCACCTATCACGTGCCAGACCTTTGAAGATCTGTAGTCTAAACCACCTCATGGTATAGATGGGAAAACTCAGGCACAGGATGGGGGCAAAGCTTACTGAATGCCACTCCACAGTAAAATCTGGACCAAGACCCAGGTCTCCTAAGTTGAAACTGAAGCTCAGGGATCTTTCTGCCGACCAGAGACCTCTGGTAAGAAGGGGTTTTCCAGTCTCAGTCCCCTTTCATCTCTGTAGTGATAATTCTGAGGTTTAAGTTAGGCTTCAGTGAGAACAAATAAAAATAGGACTAGCCAAGAATACTCCGGCCAGGTCAGATCCTAGCGGACAGGGTGGCTCTGTCTCAATGATCCAAGGCTGGATTTCCCAAGCGCAGATGGTCTTGCTCAACCTGTCCCCACAGTTGAGTCCTCCTCGGGAGCTCTCCTGTCTCCCAACCCCGCTCACCTGCACTGGACCCCGGCTCCTCCGTCTCTGTCGGGGCAGAGCTGGACGCCGGGGGTTCTTCCATGGGGCGCGGGGGCAAGTCCCCAGGTCTCATTCGCCGAAGCCTGGGAGAGGCACTGGCCCCAAAGCTGCGGAGACGGAGACAGAGGAGGATAGAGAGGGAGAAACAGCAGAGACGGAGGACACGGAGACAAAACCCGAGAAGCAAACAGCAGGTCGACTGCCGGAAAGAGGTAATGGCAACGAAATAGGCGGACGCAGGCTGTAGTCAGTGGTGGTTGGGGCCAACCGTTGGCCTCCTCCGCGAGCCCGCCCCGTCCCGCCCCCTCGGCGCTGCCCCTCCCTCCAGCCCACAGCCCGGTCCCCACCACCGCACGGGACCAGCAGCACCTCTACCCTCGCCAGCTCGGCTTAAGCCCTGGGCCCACCTCAGTTCCCAACAGTCGCTTCCTCTCTTCAGTCCCACAGCCCCGAGCTCTTACATTGGTCTGCAGCTCGGTATCACCGCCTAAAACTTCCCCGGACAGCCTGAGAGTTGAGCAAAGGTTCCGGGCCTCAGAGGGTACCCTACAAAAAGGACCAGAGGTTCAGAGCATTGGCTATCTTTTTTGCAAAATATGAAAATGAAAATGTATTCATATGTATAATTTATGTGTGTATATACACACATTTACATACACAGATTTGTCACATAGCACTGAGTCCATTCTTCTGTTTCACACTACCTGAATTTAAGCCCTCCTCTCCCCAACCAAGGAGGAAATGGCTGATCTAAGGTCATTTTTTATCTGGGACTAAGTATAACATAAAGGAAATAGGCTGGGCCTGGTGGCTCATGCCTGCAATCTCAGCGCTTTGGAAGGCCTACGTGGGAGGATGCCTTGAGCCCAGGAGTTGGAGGCTGTGGTGAGCTGTGATTGCACCACTGCACGCCAGGCTGGGTGACAGAGCGAGACCCTGTCTCTAAAATATAAAAATTTTAAAAAGAAGAAATTTTACAAACACCAATAAAAGGAAAGACAGACTGCTAACTTAGAGGACATAAAAATGTAAAGCTTCCATAAATTTGAATTTGTGATATTTTTTCTCATTAAAAAAAAAAAAATCCTGTGCTGAGGCAGGGAACATACAAGATGAGTCTGGAACGTCGTGGTGCCATAAAAAAGAACTCACAAAATGATGAGGGTTCTTTGAAAGAACACAGGAGCCAACCTCAATACAACCTGCTGTATTTTTCTAAAAAAAAAAAAAAAAAAAAAGGCCTAGAACCAGAGGCCAACTCAATCGTAATAAGCCCAAATAATGGGTCTTAAACTACTATTTTGTCCCCAAAGGAACCAGGGTTCCATGGAAAAAATGGCTGATTTTAGGTGCAGGGAAGAAAATTTATAAGATTAGCCTAGAACATCTTGTCTTAACAGAAAGCAAGAAAGCCATAAAAGACTATTTCAGGTCATGTCAAAAGAAGATAAGAGTCAATTTGAAGGTAATTCCACTGGCCAAATATGGAAAAATTAGAACATCAAAAAGAACAAGGACTGCAAAGAAAGTTTATATTGACATATAAAGAAAAAAGTCACTTTGGTCACCTCAGAGTTTGCTAAGGAAAGCAGCTTTTTATTCTGCCTTTCCTGTACAAACCATATTTCTGGGTAACTAAATAGTTGATGGGGAAAAGTTCTCCTTCATGAAATAATTAACTGACCAATGCCAAGTGAATGATAGAATTTCGTCATTTTTTCCTTTAATGACAAAATGAATTTAATGAATCTAGACAGCAATTATCAATAGCTACTAAAAGCTACACCCTTATTGCTCACCTTTTCTTCCCTTCCTACTTTCCCACCTCATTATGGCACTCCCTGCATCTCTCACATATACTACTGCCCTCAGATCCTGGTCTCAGAACTTGACTCTGGGAGAACTCAAATAAAGACCCTATACCAGGAGATAAGAACAACAAAACAGTAATGAGTTAAGGATCTAACTTAAGAATGTAGGAAAGGAAGAATAGAATAAATCCCAAAAAGGTAGAAAAGGAAATGATGAAAATAAGAACAGAATAAATGAAACAAGAAGCAAAGTACAATAGAGGGGACTGACAAAAGCAAATATTAGTTATCTAATATATCTAATAAAATGGACAAACCCTCTGGCAAGACTCATTTTTAAAAGTTATAAATGATATTAATGAAAAGGAGACTATAAGCAGGGATACAACAGAGATCAGAAAAATAATATTATACAAACTTTATTCATTAAGTTTGAAAATCTAGATAAAGTTAATATGGTTTTAGAAAAAGTCACCAAACTAAGATATAGAAAATGTGAAGTCTTACAACTAGTTAAAAATCTCAATCAGTATTTAAAAATCTGTTCACAAAGATAACACAACTATCCCAATTATTCCAATCTTTATTTCCTTCATTAATAGAAGGAATGTAAATTGGTACAGTCACTTTAGAGGAAAATTTAGCAATACCTAGAAAAGTAAAAATGTATATCCTCTCCCACCAAAGAATCCCACTACCTGTATTAGATGTATCCATACAAGAATGTTCATAGCAGCAAATGTTTAATAGTGAAAAATTATTAAAGACCTAAATGTCCATTAATAGGGTAAATAAACTGTCATGTTTAACAGTATACAGCAGTGAAATAGAATGAATTGTAGCTACAGGTATCAATCTAAATTACCTTCACAAACACAATATTGAACAAAAAAGCAAGTTGCACAATACAGAGAGAATGGTACTTGTGCAGATTTACCATAGGAGGCCTAACAGTGCTATCCTTAGAAAGGCCTGCTTGCAATTGGTGTTTTTTGACTGGTGTCTGGAAACCTGGCTCTCAAAGTGTTCCCAGTCACCAGTCAAGTGAAAACAGTAGTTGACTATGCAGACTGTTTGAATGCAGTATGATTTATACTGGAAACCTGCTTGCTTTCTAGGGGTCTTTATTATGTGCTAGGCAGATGGTGCCCACATGACCAAACCTCAATAATCTGTGGGTACTCTCTAATGGGCTCCCTGGACAGAAACATTGCACACGTGTTGCTGCATTTTTGTTGCTGGGGCAATGTGGGCTCTTTGTAATCCCTCATGGGAGGAAGAGCACAAGGAACCTGTAAATGGATTCCTACAGACTCTGCCAGTGTCCTTTTCCCTTATGATCCAGATATATGTCCTTATTACATCGAGGAATAAATCTTAGTCATATATGCTGAGTCCCATGGGTCCTTCTAGCAAATATCTGAACACAGGGGTGGTTTGGGAGACTCTCAATCAAAAACCACATATAAAGTTTAAAAACAGGTAAAACAATAACCATATATATCATATAAGAGCTCCCAAGGAGGTAAAAATAAAATTTAAAAATCACCGTATGTCTCTACATATCTGTATATATCCATATATATAATGGACACATAGGTATGAAGAAAATGCTTAGGAATAATAAATACCAAATTCCAGGTAGTAGTTACTTCTGAAGGTGCAGGAAGTAAGATGTGATTAATACCCAGAGGACTTCAATTCTATTGGTAATATATGTATTTCTAATGCAGTAGGTTCACAAGTATTCATCTTATTATTCTTTAAGACTTATTTGTCTGAAACACTTCCTTTATAAAAACTGGGTCACTCAAGTCCTGGGGTTCTTTTTTTTTTTTTTTTTTTTTTGAGACAGAGTCTTGCTCTGTCGCCCAGGCCGGAGTGCAGTGGCTCAATCTTCTCTCACTGCAAGCTCTGCCTCCTGGGTTCACGCCAGTCTCCTGCCTTAGCCTCCCGAGTAGCTGGGACTACTGGTGCCCACCACCACGCCCAGCTAATTTTTTTGTATTTTTTTAGTAGAGAGGGGGTTTCACTGTATTAGCCAGGATGGTCGCGATCTCCTGACCTTGTGATCCGCCCGCCTCGGCCTCCCAAAGTGCTGGGATTACAGGCGTGAGCCACCGCGCCCGGCCATCGTGGGGTTATCAGACTTCTTCAAGTTCACAATCACCAACTCTGTGGATCTCAAATTTTATAGACCCAAAGCTAATACCAAATCTTTCTAAATTCTTTGAGGTAAATTCAGATGGTCTCATCTTATGCCTGAGACAGTGAAGTTAAGGAGCAATTTCTGTATTTGGAGGTAGAGAATCCTGGCTCCAATCCTCTCTTCCCACTTCCTAGCTGAGTGATCTTGGCAACTTATTAAACTTCTGTGCCTCAGATTCCTCATCTGTAAAATGGCCCAAGTCCTCATTCATGGCTCAGTTTTCACTTCCTGTATGAAGACCTCCCAGACCTCCATACTAGAACAAATACTCCTCTTCAAGCCCCCATAGCACTTTGCACCTCCTTCTATTGTGTTGAGATTGTCTAAGTGTCTGACACTCTCAGCAGACTGTGAGCAACTAAAGTGAGGGAATCAGGCCTGGCGCAGATGTTAGCAGAGCAGAATTATGTAAAAGTTTGAAGGAAGAGGGATGCAGAAGGGTACTGAGAAGTAATGCGATCAAGTAAGACGGCACAGGAGTATCGGGGGAACTTCCTGTTACAGAAGTTAGGGAGCTTCCAAGATATGGGACAGGCAGAAGTAGGAGTGGGGCTGTCAAGAATTGTGAAGGGTCTGAGATTTTTATCTTACCTGCAGGCTAATAAGGTAGCCTGTTACTACCTGTAATAAGGATAGTTTGTTACTTACAGCAGTAGTGGTAGCCAGAGTACCAGCATTTGTGCCAGTTCTGAGCTCCGGTTCCCATATGACGACGCAGAGAGCCAGATGATACCTGCACATGCAATGGAGTGCATTAAAGGAGAGGAACTTTGAGCGTAGGGAACCTGAATCTTCAATAATGGGCAGTGGGCATGGACACCTTTTGCTCTGATACCTCCTAAGGTTGTTTGCTATATAAACATTCCTGGACAAATAGTCTGGAACAAAGATAGTCAGTGTCTCTCTTTGCAAAATATGCAGAAATGCTAGAGACCCATGAAAATTGTCTCCCAACAAGATGTACCTTTCATTTCTGTGCCATCTCAGCTTTTGATGAATTCTCCCATGAGTATGCCACTCCACCTGTCACTCTGATTAAACTGACAGAAACTGGAACCAGGTCCATTCAAAGTCTTTTATAACATTTAATTAAAGATACTATCAACAGAACTCCATGTAACAGGATAAGACCAATCAGTATTGACTTCAGTCATATCCAAGGGCCTGTATCCAAGAAGGTGGGAAAAAAAATCAACAAGCCATCAGGATCTACGTTAGAAAGTCAAGTGGCATTCTCGAGTTTCTGTATTGACCATGTACTTGGTCTGAGACATTAATCCAGTCACAGTGGGATGTATTAGTGATTGCACTGACTCCACTTTGGCCCACAGAGAGGAAGAGCAATTCTGTCACCCATAACCACCCTGGCCAATGAGTTGAGGCTGATTTAAGTGCCATCCAGAGCTGAGGTGGTGTCACTGATGACTGCAACTAAAGTCAAGAACAAATTCCTTATCAACATTTCCAATAGGATGACTCTCAAGATAGTGATACTGTTGGGAGAGGCAATCTGCCATGAGCCCTGAGTGTTCCTGCATGTATGTTCTTCCTTCATATGAATTTAAGGCTGTGACGATTCTTCTTGGGCTGTATACCTCAGTGTTCTGTTGGCAGTAAGCTACCTTGAAATGAGCAGGTTTACCTATTGCTCACTAAGTTTTGAGGACCCCACCCCCACCACCAAGCTTGGGGTCTGCATTTGTAGGCATTCATCTAGGCCTACCTTGTGGCACTTTTGGGGGTGTAGGCCATAAGGAGAACAGCTTTGTGTCAGTCAGCAAGGCCATGTATTTACTTTCAGTTCAAGTGGCTACCTACTTGGACTCAACAAACAGCTAAAGTTTTTAGTTCAAAGTTCTATATCCTTATTGCTGCCATCATTTATTTCATCTTTGGGAAATCATTCATCAGCCTTGGCCATACTGCCTTTCAGCTGGAGCCATGAGCTTGCTGCCTCATTGTCAAAACATCCTCCTGCCTCCTGCCCAGAGACTGAGCAATAACCTAAGTACAATTTGGGCAGCATGTTTCAATCCTACCTCTTGCTCCTTAGCCTCAAAATATTCTCAGGTAGGACTCTTTCTTCAGGTGGGACTTTCCTCAGGACTCCTTCCTCCTCCCTCACTTGGGAATATCTGATTTGCTACCAGATCCCAGGGAATTTCTTTTATTTCTAATCCAGCCCATGAAAGGCCTATGTCCTTTCTCTTCTAGAAAACCATGTTGGTCAGGATCCAATTTTCATTACTAAAACTTTCACATCTGTGAATTTTATACTACTTGTAAGCTAACAAGTTAGCCTGCTATGCTTTCATGGATGTTGCCAGAAGACATGAGATTCCTGGGTCAGAGACAAATAACTTTATTACTTATGGTATAGCTAGCAACATGAGCATGATGTTTGCACCAGCTGCCCATGGCCTACACCCCCCAAAGTGCCACAGGGTAGACCTAGATGGATGCCTACATATGCAGACCCCAAGCTTGTGAGGGGAGCGGTGCTCAAAACTTTCATAGTAAGCAACAGACAAATTTGCTCATTTCAAGGTAGCTTACTGCTAACAGAACACTGAGGTACAGCCCAAGAAGAATGGTCAGTCTTACATTCACGAGGCAAGAATATACATGCAGGAACACTCAGGGCTCATGGCAGATTGTTTCTCCCAAGTTTCTCTTTCTCCAGTGGGTCACCTTTGACAGTATTAACCAACTCTGGGGCACTAAGAGCCTGACAACTACTCAATCCTCATCAATTGCTTCCCAGAACAGTTTGTCACAGAGAAATCCCTCTGAAACGGCTATTGCTCCTTTATAGCAGCCAAGAAAAACCTGAGACCTTTCCTGTTGTGTTGGCATGGGTCTAAGCCTGGAATGACAAACTGTAGGAGGGGGTTGGCTCTAAGACAGCCCAACAGTTTCCATTCTTCCTTAACAAGTATTATGTACCCTGAATCCCTCTATGCCCAAGTGAATAAACCAAAGTTCTAACAATTCACCTAGTTTCTGTCCACAGGAGTAAGGAATTTCCCTTCTTTCAAGCTCTTGTAAGGATGTGTCTCTGTGACTGTTATCTGAGACGAGGAAGAACCCGCTGCCTATACAGGAAGAATGTTAGTAGCAGCAGTTAAAATGGGGCAGACCTGAGGCTGAATGCCAGATTAGTGATGAAGTACCTCTTTCTAGAAGACAGTAAGCAACAACCAGGACATAGTTTCAGCAACCATCTTTGAATCTGTTCCAGGAATTCTGGAACCACCTCCCTAGTTCCTTATTAACAGACAATGATGTGTGTATGTTTTTAAAACATTATTCTCAGAAGGGGACCATAGGGTGGGTTGTTAGGAATACTCTAATTTAATAACAAAAAAGGCTGTCAGTAGGGACAGGATATATTCTAAAAGTCTAAATTAACGTGCTATTAACAGTTTTCTCTGATGACTTCCACCACGGAGAAAAGGTTTGGGGTGTGGGTAGGGCTAGCCAGGAGTGGATAAAGTAGAGTTAGTGAGAGATCGGGCTCTAAGCTGAGGAGGAACTTGGGTCCAGAGAAGAACACAACTTGTGTGTATGCAAAGGGATTTTGCATCTTCTTCCATTCCCCGAAATTGTTCTGAAGTAAAACTTGTTTCTACACATACATAAAAGCATGACAAACATTAAATACACATTAGCAGCTGAAATTTGCAAATAATGAAAAAACATTAGGATCTTTTTCCACTGTCCTCAGTGGCCCTCTATGTTCTCAAAAGAAGTCCGTCTGAGGTTAAGTGTGAGGAACTGAGAACTTCACTCACGATGATGTGATGGGTGTCAGGGTTTCCTGGTAGCAAGGGTGTTGCAGACCTACTAGAGGGTACAGAGCAGCCCAGCAGCATTCTGGACTGGGCTGAAGTGGCCACTCAGTAGATGCATGTGTCAGAAGCTGGCCAGAGGCGCTCCGCAGCTCTACAAAGTGTGCCCTTGCTTAGGCTTGAGCTTGCAGAGGGTACTTTTTGTTCATGTGATGAGACACTTCACTTGAGACACTAAAATGCCACAAGTGAAAAGACAGGGGACCAATTGCAACATGTAGCTGGGCTGATAACTCACTTCTTCAGTAAACCTAAACTGCTTCAACTGGTTTCTGGAGTCAGGGAAAAATCTTAAAAGAGATCCATGTAGTCCAAGAAGTCTCAAGTGGGGCTTATAGGCACCTTTTGGGGATATGGCACCCAACATTTTTTTGTAATCATTAAGAGATGTTTTATATTTCCCAGGGGGTAAGGAGTCTTCATAATCTCAAAAGAATACATTCTCTCAAACTTTTTTTTAACAAGAGACTTCACCCTAGAAAAGGAATAGGATGTATTCAAGGTCACAAATTAGAAAAAAGTTGCCAACAACCCAGGTTTCTCGTTTCTCATTTGAGGACCCATTTGCTTCCCCTCTCTTCAATCCACACTCCTTCCTGGAATAGTGAAAAAAAATGGGGAAAAATTATGATCAATAGGGAATTAAAGTAAAAACACTTATACTATGAATATTATGTAGCTATTAAAAATGAGACTGACCTGGCCGGGCGTGGTGGCTAACGCCTGTAACCCCAGGACTTTGGGAGGCCGAGGCGGGCAGATCACGAGGTCAGGAGATCGAGACCATCCTGGCTAACACGGTGAAACCCCAACTCTACTAAAAATACAACAAAATTAGCTGGGCTTGGTGGCACACGCCTGTAGTCCCAGCTACTCAGGAGGCTGAGCCAAGAGAATGGCATGAACCCGGGAGGCAGAGCTTGCAGTGAGCCGAGATTGCGCCACTGCACTCCGGCCTGGGTGATGGAGCAAGACTCTGTCTCAAAAAAAAAAAAAAAAAAAAAGAAACTGACCTATGTGTATATATATATATATACACACACACACACAGGGGTTATCACCCCAGCTACTTGTTGCAATTGGTCCCCTGCCTTTGCACTTGTGGCATTTTAGGACAGTTTCTTTTATATATGTATGTCAGACTTTTTTTTTTTTTTTTTGAGACAGAGTTTTGCTCTTGTTGCCCGGGATGGAGTGCAGGGATGAAACCTCAGCTCACCGCAACCTCCACCTCCTGGTTTAAGCCATTCTCCTGCCTCAGCCTCCCAAGTAGCTGGGATTACAGGTATCTACCACCATGCCCAGCTAATGTTTTGTATTTTTAGTAGAGATGTGGTTTCACCACGTTGGCCAGGGTGGTCTTGAACTCCTGACCTCAGGTGTGACTTACCGGTCTTGGCCTGCCAAAGTGCTGGGATTAAAGGCATGAGCCACCATGCCTGGCCTCAGACTCATTTTTAATAGCTGCATTATACACACACACAGGGAAAATGCCTAAGACATATTAAGTTTAAAACACAAATTACAGGACATATATCAATATAATTCAATTTTTGTTAAAAAAAAAAGTGTATGTGGAGATACATATTTGCATCTACATGTAAAGAAAAAAGCATATTGGGGGAACTCTAAGGGATCATCATGGAGAGGGTTATTCACTGTCTCTATCTGCAAGCCCTGAGACCCCTGTGTCTAACAGTACAGTTGGCCCTCTATATCTACAGATTTAACCAACCATGGATTAAAAATATATTTTAAAAAAATAACAAAAAATATAAATAAAAAACCAATACAGTATAACTAGTTACATACCATTTACATTGTATTAGGTATTATAAGTAATCCAGAGGTGATTAAAAGTATATGGGAGGATGTGTATGGGTTATATGCAAATACACTACACATTTTATATAAGGGACTTGAGCATCCTTGGATTTTGGTATGCCTGGGGCTCCTGGAACCAATCTCCCACAAATACCAAGATGACTGTAACTCCTCCATTGTAAAAATACACTTATCTGGTTACATGCTTTCAAAAACTTTAAGAAGCTCACGGATTAGGATTATCACCTTGTGGGAGGGAAAGGAAGCAGAAACCGGAAGCTCAGAGAGAATTCTGCAACTTACCCAAGGTTTATAGGAATGAAGAGTACAGAATCCAAGGCTTTAACTTTCTGTCCAGTGTTGTTCACAATTCCCTACTATGTGGTGTGAGATAGGACAACCTTCCCAAGACAAACAGGAAGTGCGATAATGGTAATTTCTTACAAACTAAATATAGTGTTGGGGACTAGGCTCAGCCGGAACTGATGTTTTGTAAATCTGCAGGGAAATATTCCTAAAGGTCAAAGGATCTTGGCAAGCACCCAGGTCTTCTCTGACCATACTGGGAAAACACTGGAAAAACTGCTGTTTTGTCTCTGCAGGACCACAAACTCTGAAGCCAGACTCCCCAGGTTTGAATCCCAGTTCTATCACTAGCTGTGTGACAATTATTTAACTTTTGTATCTCAGCTTCCTCATGTGTAAAATGGGGATAATAACAGTACCTACCTCTTAGGATTGCTGCGAGCATTATTAATACATGTAAAGTACTTGGAGCATTTCTGACACAAAATAAGTACAGAATGTTGTTATTATTGTTGTTATCACTGGAAAGCTAAGAGTTCCTCAGCTACAGGTTCTCAGGGGTCTCTGACAAGTAAAATAGCCTAAAAACGAAAAAAACCTATAGTAGAAAGATGTTAACACTTGTTTCTCTGTTCTCTCCATCAAGACTATGACTCATTTTTTTCACATCTTCCTTCCTTTTATTGAAAAAAATTTTAGAAAATGGCAGTTAATAAAAGGCACAAACAAATCAACAGGGATATACTAGTGGAAAACACAATATAAAACTAAAATGCCATTGGCTTCTTTAACTGGTTAAAAGCACAAAATGTAACAGGCAGAAAGTCTGTTTCAAACAAATTAAAAAGCTATGTTTTTTTTAAATTCTCCCCAAATCAGATATATACACACCCACAAAAATAGTGTGTGAAGGAAAGCTGTCATACACAAGACGTTGTATCCTGAATTCTTCAAGGAAACACATATTGAAATAGGAATTAACAGAGTCAGCAACAGATTAATAATTTTTTAAAATTCAGTCTTAAAATGCTACATGGCCCAAAGCTATACTATATAAAGTATGCTAGGTACAAAAGAAAACATCTGTACAGCTTTTAGCAAAACTACTTTCCCAGAAAAGCAAATTAAAATAATGTAATCAGCAGATCAAGGAGACTACAGCTAGACATCAGAGCTACAACTTCTCATATCTGTGTCAGAAAATCCTATTTATCCAGAATAGACTAAAATTTCAGGACAAAACAGGGACTTTTAAACATTTCTTACTTTACCCATTTTAAGTTCTTTTTATCTCCCCCACCCCCCAAGCCAGTAATTCAGCAAGATCCAGCAGAAAGAGGGCTACTTTTAGAATTGGCTATTTTATTTTTCTTTCTATGGCGAGACTGTCATGGAGCCTGGATATTTCAGGCTCATATGCATCCATGACCAGTGTCCCACTGTGGTCAAAAAACTTAGCAATGGACTTGGTGAACTCGGCTTCCCGCTGCTGCTTTGTTCTTCCACTGATGAAGGTCAGCTTCAAGGTGTATTTGTCATCAAACCTAAGCATGGGGGCAAAGATAACAAATCAAAAACCAAACACAGAGATTCAACCAGTAACAATACGGCACCAAGTGATTCCGAAGAAAAGGAGTAAGTTGGGCACCGGTGATACAGAGAACAAACACATCATTTAAAAGCAAAAACAAAAACAAAACCCCAGGGCTCCTAACTCTTCAAGATACTAGTTCTGATTCTTAGGTGTTGATGTATCTTTCCTGCTTTAATTACTGTGTACCTCCTTTACCTTGCTGTAGACTTTTAAGGCATGTGGACCATCTTCTCCCATCTCTGGACTTTGTATTTGCCATGCTAGATAGGTCTTCCTAGAAGACTCTTCTCCCCTGTCTCACCTGACAAGTTCTTATTTGTTAACACTACACTTGGGCATAAACTTTTCTGGGAAAGCCTCCCAATCTGGGTCAGATGTGTCTCCTCTGTCTTCCACAGCACCATCAATCAACATTCAACTCAAATACTGACCTCCTATCATATGCCAGGCCTCATAATAGGATGCTATGGTATCAACAAAATTACCTATCTGTTGACATGATGTGTACTATGTTCTTCACTAGACTGGGAGGTTTCTTTTCCCTTTGTTTCTGGTGCTTGAATTAGGATTGTCTAGGAGATTCTTGAGCAAAGATTTTTGTCTCGTTTCATACTCTTAGCTGGGTTTCTAGTAGGCAATCAAATTTTTATAAATAAATGAAGAACCCTTGCTTTCAAGGATGCTCTCCAATCCCAGGGTGTCTAGTCCTTACACTCTGTAATCAATCTAGCTCCAGGTTTTACTCTGATCACAGGCCAGGGATGCTAACTGCTTTACTAAATGAACTCCAGAGATTCCTTATCTATACTTTAAGGTACCCTGAAGGCCATTACTATGTCCATCCATTCAAGAGGGTTTAATGACACCAATTACTGGTAGGCTGACATCCCCCACCCTGTTTCCATTTATTGGGACATATTCAGTGGATTGTTAAGCTAGTATTATCTTTAGATGAAGCAGTTTCTTGAGGCTCTATTTCTGCATGTTTAAAATGGGAGAACTTCCATCTGCTTTTAGGATTACTGTCATAACTAAAACAGTGCCTATCATTAACTAGTGCTCAAAAGATCACAGCTCCTCAGTAATTGCTGGTCTAGGCAGTAACTCCCAACTTGGAGAGCTAGTCGTGAAGTTCCTTTAACTATTTTCAACACCTCAAAAGATTTTCTCAAGTTCTGACCAACTGCTACTAATTGATATCACAGTAATTTTTAGATTTCTGTGCCCAGTTTTATTGGCAGGTACATGGCTTTGGTGGCAGTCCATGAACTGATGAGTTGTGACCTGACACATTTTAGAAATGTTCATTAATTAAGATATTTATTAAGCCTACCTATATGGGTCAGGCAGTTTTAGATGGTAAGAATATATGGCAGTGAACATAATATAAATGTCTGCCTTTTGGGACTTTCATTTCAGTGTGTGTAGGGAACA